CAAATGAATATTTTCGTAGAATAGACAATGTTGAGCTAGATGATGACAATGACATCACTCTTTCAAACAACTGTGAAACTTCACAAGGTGGTTCTATGATATGCTGATATGGTCTTTCTATATTGCATAAGATAATTTTTTTAAGGAACTTAATGTTATATGCCAGAATTTTTTTAATTTTCTTTATGATGCAGAAACATAAGGTTTTCAATTTTTGTTTAGTTAACAGTAGCAACATTAACTGTTACTTTTGAAATAGAAAGTAATTTTTGTTAGGAATATAATTTTCTTTTTTTATTAAGATGATAATGGTTCGAATTATGTTATACAATAGACCATTTGAGAAATTTATAAGTTCCTTTTCTTTGTCTCCAATATCATTTTTCCAGGTCTATCATATGATTTGGCTAGTAAGTTGTTTCAGAATTAGTTTATCCACTGATCTGTCGATTGTTAGATGACATTAGTGAAATTGAACATAGTGTAAAGTAACGTATTAACTGAGGGATTTTGAAAAGAAATTTTGTAAAACTAACTGATTGATTTTGTGGATACTATTAATTAACTTTTGCAAAATTAATATACTTTCAAGGTGGATTGTTTATATAATGCCATTAAATGTCGATTTTACTGTTAATCAAAGCATTTTAAAACATGCTTCAGTGCAGACCTTTCTTAATTACAAAGATTTACAAGGTATTAAGAGGAAACACAAAAACATATGGACAAAAAGTGTTTGCAAAAGCCATAGTCTATGATGTGAATGTATAAGCCTCAACAAGTTCCAAATATTAAAAAGAAAAATTAATTCAATAAATAGCAATATACTTTTGTTTGTTTGTTTCTATTAACTTTCACTACTATTACACCTTTTGCACATCATTCTGAGGTATGACTCAAATCTGAGTTTATTCTAGATAATAAATGAATTATTTAACCTTTAGACCAGACGGAGTGGGCTGCGACCCTTGTCGCACTTAAATGCCACATCAGCAGGAACACCGCCCCCTGGGTGCGGTAGGGGTGCAGTGTGACATTCCAAGGGAGCACTCATTCAAACAATGTAATTGGTTCCTTTTTATTAACTCCCTCTGATTGGTCCATTTTATTTATTAATACAAAAATAAAAAAAAATATCCAAGTGTGGCACCACTCTTTAGGTATGGTATGAAACCACAATTTTGTAGTAAAGAGTGAGGTGACGTCTAGGTAGCAATAAAGGGAGTGCAACTTTTGTGACACCACTCCCTCCATCCTTATATAAACAAATAACTAACTGTGGTAAAAAAAAAATAATAAATAAAAAAAGTAAACCAATCATGTTTGAATTCAAACCACACATGATGTGGATATGATAATTAATGGATTAAAAAATAATAATAAAGAAGCTGAATGGTCGGCCGAAGTCAACATCAAGAGTAATCACCTGTTGTCTACTTGCCTAAATTTGACTTTCTTCTCACATATATTTTCCTAGCTAATTATTTATTGTTTTAAAAAATGACTGAAATACCCATGGAGTTTTAACTCAATTTTTACCCTATTATATATGATATGGTTGCTGCAACTTGAAATTTTAATTTTGGTTTAGGATTCTGTACAGGAGGAGGTAATTTGTTATTGTGAAATGCACTTTGGTGACGAAAAAAATATGTATTGATAAGTCGACCGAACATGGCAGCCTAATCGATAGGTACACAAATAGCACATTTTGTTTCTTTAGAATAGAAGTTATGCACATGCCTAATTATTGTTACAATCACATTATGACGTTATGCGATAAATAGTTTTGATCATATGCCTTTTCTCTTTTAAGTTTTTTGGTGTTTCTTCTTAATTGCTCAGTTTGACATGAATTGTTTCCGACAGAATTATGAAAAAGGAAAAGCAGTTGAGTGTGCACGTTGTCGGTGACGACGAATGAAGATGGGAAATCTTCATTACAAAGCTACGGTCTCTTTCTTCTTTTGTTTTCAACGTGTTGTTGGATTTTTGTGTACCCGACCCATCAAAAATCAAAAATAATAATAATAATAATAATAATAATAATTTGACAGGTGCAACGCACGGGTCATTTGACTAGTTATTCACTAAATACGATTCACAGTAACTAAAGTTAGAACTTATATAATAAATACGTTATACATTTTATTAATTATTAATTAAATAACAAAGTAGTATGTTAAATTTATAATTGGAATAAATATTATACATCAAGAATGGTTGAAACAAAATATATAATTGCAAAGCTATTTAGTCCGGATCTCGATACCCTCCACGATAAGGCCAGAATTCCAATACTTAACCTCCTTAAACGCCATCTCAACTTCCCTATAATCTCCTTGCTTGTACTCGAATTCTCCCAACTTAATCTCCATCCACCTATCCATTCACCTATAAGGAAACACACAGTTTTCTTCCCATGTTTCCCTAGCCTTTGGTCTTTGAAGATAAACAATTTTAGTCTCCATTTTTCTCCCACCAAAAGTTATGCTTGAATTCCCAGGCACATCAAGTCCTCTGGAATCCTCAGTAGTTCGGAAGACAAGATACGCTATATATGTACTCTTTTCTGACAGCTTCACAGCTGCTATTTTGCCTTTGATTTCAAGCCACCATACTCCTCTAAGTATCCACACCTTCCGGAACCTACACAGATGACAACGTATATGAAAGCCAAATGCCCTATAATAACATACAATGTGACCATAAAGAGAGAGAAAAAGAGAGACCTTGATTGAGTTATATGTCCCCATTCCCAATATCGAGTGTTATTTTGCCATGTAATTAATAGATCCTTTTCCCCCAACATATAAACAATTTTTTCACTCTCCTTTTTGTCGATTTGAAAGGATAGTTTATCGAATAATTATGAGGCCAAAATTTAAAAATTGTTTATCAATTATATTGAAAAAATTATAGTTTCCTTAGGTATCATTAGATATGAACACCAACATGATACCCATAATATGTAGACGTATTAGAGACAAACAAGAACAAAGCCATTCTTTTATTGAAAATATATTGTTATAGAAAAGATTAGAAGCATAGTTAAAAAATAGCCAATAACTTGTCATATTATATAATCCATGCATGATAGTTTTCGTTCTTGCAGTGAAAATATGTTTCCTTAAAAAATATCGAATAAAATACGAAGTGCTTCCTGGATCGCCTCGATGATCCTATCTATTGTAGGGCGTTTCTTTATGTCAAAGGTAATGCACTCATGTGCAATTTCATTAAATTTATGATAAGAACTCATCTAGTTGAATTTTAAATCAGAAAAACAAAACGTGTGTGGTCCACTATTAAAGTGTGAAAAGAAACTCCAAATATCTATTATAATGAATTTTTTTCTCTAAGTAATATATGATTAGGAAATTCAGTGATGAATTTTTTTCTCAAGTAGTGTGTAATTAGAGAATTCAGTCAGAGACCACTTAAGTCAAAGGTAATTTGTACTCTACAGATTTCTTTCCTTTTTGTTTGTAAACAATAGTATTATAGAAGACTATGTGAATGTTCGTGCATTGCACACGAAAAAAAAAACTTTGTTGTCAAAGTATTATGTTGTCAAAATTAATCGATTTATTGTCATTAACGATATCAATTATTTATTCTTGTACTTAAGTAAGAAAAAAAAAAAGTCCGTATAATTTATTGACATTATCTTCAAATATATTATACTATATATTAAATGAAACTTCTTAGCAATATTAACCTTTACCCTTTTCATTCTTTTGCCACCACATTTTCCTAATTTGCTCTGCAGACCCTGTCAGCTTTTTTTTTACTAAATCCTTAGACACGTTTTATTTATGATAAAAAGAAACTATGTATAAATATTGTAGTTTTGATTTTTATATTTTTTGTCATAATAGTTTTGGCTTTTAAACTTTTCCATAATAATTTCGTATTATATATATATATATATATATATATATATATATATATATATATATATTAAAAAAGTTCAAAGTTAGGAATAGTAATTTTGTGTGATTTTTATTAATTTTGCCCCTTATTTTTAGTCATTTTGACACTTTTGGTCATTGCAATAAAAATTTTTACATTTTTTAGGAACCTTTTAATATTCAAAGTTTGGCCACAAAACTTTATGGAATTGACGACTGTGGTCCCTTTTCTAAAAACTTGCTAATTTCAACATCTTTAATTCTTTAGCCATTTTGACACTTTTGGTCCTTACAATCAAAACTTTTACATTTTTACATAAAAAACACAAAAAATGGTCCGGGGCAAAGCCCGGATTTTTCCGCTAAAAGAGTCAACAACGAGTTATAAATAATGAAACTCATGTTTTTTTGACCGTTTTCATCATTGCACTTTCTGTGTCTGTCATTTTCTTCTTTTGGTATATTTTTTTTTATATTGGTCCTCATATTTTAACTTTTTCGTTTTTTTCCTGTCTTCTATCTATCCGTCTCCAACTGTTTATCCCTATGAAAATAATCCAAAGTCAACTAAAAGAGTCATCAACGACGCTTATTAATCTATAAACAAAAAAACGACACTCAAATCAGACGTACACGACCCGAAGTTAAAAGTTAGGAATAGTAAAGTTCTATGTTTTTTGTCAACTTTGCCCTTCATTCTTTAGCCATTTTGACACTTTTGGTCATTGCAATCAAAATTTTTATACTTTTTAGGGACCTTTTAATATTCAAAGTTTGGCCACAAAACTTTAAGGAATTAACAACTTTGGTCCCTTTTCTAAAAACTTGCTAATTCCAACCCCTTTAATACTTTAGCCATTTTGACACTTTTAGTCATTGCAGTCAAAACTTTTACATTTTTTTATAAAAAAAAAACAAAAAACTACCCGGGGCAAAGCCCGGGTTTTTCACCCTTGCACTTTCTACGTCTGTCATTTTCTTCTTTTGGTATATTTTTTCTATATTGATCATCATATTTAATTTTTTTTGTTTTTTCCTTCCCTCACCAAAGCCAACTAAAACAGTCAACAACACCTATTAATCTATAAATAAGAACGACACTCAAATCAGACGCACATGGCCCATGCGAAGCATGGGCAACATATCTAGTTATATATTAAATGAAAACTTCTTAACAATTGTAACCTTTATTCCTTTCATTCTTTTGCCACGATATTTTCCTAATTTGCTCTACAGCCCATGTTTTGAGCTTCCTTTTTTTTCAACTAAATCCTTAGACACGTTGTATTTATAACAAAAAAAAAACTATGTATAAATAGTGTAGTTTTGATTTTTATATTTTTGTCATATTAGTTTTGGCTTTTAGACTTTTGCCATAATAATTTCGTATTATATTATATATTAAATGAAAACTTCTTAGGAATAGTAAGTTTTACCCCTTTCACTCTATTGCCACCACATTTTCCTAATTTGCTTTGCAGCCCCTGTCTTGAGCTTTTTTTTATTTTTTTTATTAAATCCCAAGATAGTTTTATTTAGAATAAAAAGAAATTATGTATAAATAGTATAGTTTTGATTTTTATATTTTTGTCATAATAGTTTTGGCTTTTAGACTTTTGCCATAATAATTTCGTATGTTTGTAGGTTAGGTTTTTATATAGAAAGTAAATTACAAATGTTAACCGTGTAAGTAAAAATTTACTCATAAGGTCCATGTCCATTTTTGACGTATGAGTTTTAGACTTTGATTATAATACTTTTGTATGTTGGTATATTTGGTCCCTATATAGAAAATAAATTATAAAGATATGCTTATAATTTACAAAAAAGGTCAATGTATATTTTTTTTATAGAAATGGTCCACGTGTTTAAAAATAATAGAAAAACGGTCTCTACCTAATACAAAATTTATAGACTACGCCCCTCGCAAATCGGACTTAAATATCCCCTAGGAAGCAGAGAGTGTCAATTTCTAGTTATTAAAAATATGCATTATAAAGTTGAAATTTGAAAATTTTAAAGAAATTTTCGAAACATAACAAAAATTAAGTACATATTAAGATTACTTAAGATAAGTATTTATTTGAAAACACACTATTTTAATAGTCTTAAGCTATGGGTTGTAAGTAAATAACATCCTCTATAATTTCCGATTTAATGTTATTTCTAATTGTCCTTATAATTAAATGATATAAATGTTACCACTTTAATCGTTTTTAATTTTCCTCATGACAACTTTTTTATATACAAACCTCTCTTTCGAAGAAAATGTAATTTTTAAATCTATAATTTTTATTTTTAGGTTATATGTAATTTTGGTATCACTACTACAAAAAAGCACATATGACACACTATACTATGTAAGACCTGATTTTTGAAAAAAAAATGGGTTATATTATAAAGGAACTGTGTTCTATGACAGAAAATGTTAAATGACCCGGCTTGAAATATCCCCTAGGAAGCAGAGAGTGTCAATTTCTAGTTATTAAAAATACACATTATAAAGTTGAAATTTGAAAATTTTAAAGAAATTTTCGAAACATAACAAAAATTAAGTACATATTAAGATTACTTAATATATGTATTTATCTCAAAACACACTATTTTAATAGTCTTAAGCTATGGGTTGTAAGTAAATAACATTCTCTATAATTTCCGATTTAATGTTATTTCTAATTGTCCTTATAATTAAATGATATAAATGTTACCACTTTAATCATTTTTAATTTTCCTCATGACAACTTTTTTATATACAAACCATTCTTTCGAAGAAAATGTAATTTTTAAATCTATAATTTTTATTTTTAGGTTATATGTAATTTTGATATCACTACTACAAAAAAGCACATAGGACACACTATCTAAGACCTGGTTTTTGAAAAAAAAAACGGGTTATATTATAAAGGAACCGGGTTTTATGACAGAAAATGTTAAATGACCCGGCTTGAAATAAAAAACCGTGTTATATGCTGACACTACATGACCCAGTCCCTTTGTTACAACCGGGTCTTTTTAACCACACACTTTGCGACCCAGTTTTTAGACTAAAATCGTGTTGTATAGCACATTTCAATGATTTCCCTTCAAAATTTCTAATCTCCCCCCATCCTAAGTTTCCGTCCCAGTGGAAATTTGAAAAATTCTGAGATCGATGCTTCTTTGCAAATCCCACTTTCCATATTTTTGTTGATTTCTAATACCCTCTTAATACTTTTGCGCCCCC